AACTACGTTACACGTTTTATGTTTTACCACCTCGGTTAATTGCTGTCTAGTTTCTTAATGGCTATCAGAAGACTCCAAATATACGAGAAAGCTAATTGGCAACTTTACCACCATTTCGTAAGTTTGCGTACCTCCGGTAGAGAGTCTTGTTTTTCAGTACACTACAGGTTCGTGATTTAATTTTCATTCTGAATTGTCCATCTTTCTTAGTTCTCTTCTTTTTGTCTGTCTACCCTTTTCAGTGATCATGGAATTATACGCACACTCGAACTGCCGGTTTACATCAGTCGTGTACGCGGGAATTCCGTGTTTTGTCTGGACCGGGATTATGCTCCTCTAGTGCTGTCAATAGATCCAACGGAATATCGATTCAAATTAGCCCTAGTGAATCATAGATATGATGAGGTAAGGCACGGTTAAATGCCCTTTGTAGTCGTTGTTTTTCTCAGATAGTCTATCTTTCAAAATACGCATTTCCAGCACCCGAAGTGGTTCACAAATTATTTTACGTTTGCTGGTCATTATGAATAGGTCTTACATATGGTTCGGAATTCAAACCTTGTTGGACAAGCGATTATTGGTTATCTGGAAAAGAAGGGCTATCCGGAAGTGGCATTACATTTTGTGAAAGACACTCGTACTCGATTCTCACTCGCAATGGACTGTGGTCAGTTGGAGGTGGGTTTGGAAGCAGCCCGCGCGTTGGATGACAAAGCGTGTTGGGAACGTTTGGGTGAATTGGCACTACGTCAGGGGAATCATCAAATTGTTGAAATGGCCTACCAGCGGACAAAGAATTTTGACAAGCTTAGTTTTCTCTATCTGATCACCGGAAATCTGGAAAAGCTACAAAAAATGATGAAGATCGGTGAGCAGTAATCGGTTAACCATCAGATTTTATTTTCATGTGTTTTTCTGTTCAAATTCTGTGACTGGTAGAAATAAGCCTCGTAAACAGCATAAGTCATACAGAGAGGTTCAGAGAAACGGCTACTTCTTAGTCCATCCGAACTAACAGATTTAAACCAAACTTATTTGAGATCTAATGGCAATGTGGCTGCCATCTAACAAACAATAAACTTTGGAATGTTCATCTGCACAGTTGGATTCTGTTATTAAAGACATGGTTATCGTTATCTCCATGCAGCAAAATACAGTTCTGTAAACTTATCTAATAACCACTAAACTCATGGTTATTCCTTTGGCCTTTAATTTGACTTTGCTTTTTCCCTTATTATTATCCCTTGACTGCAAGATGCTCAGCGAGTTCCCTTTGCTAATGATGGTTCTCTCATTCTTCTATATTTTAGCGGAAATTCGAAAAGATATCTCGAGTCACTACCAGATCGCTTTGCTTCTCGGTAATGTAACCGAACGTGTCAAGGTGTTGCGTCAGAGTGGCCAGCGTAAGTTTTTTTCATTTTACTTCCTTTGATTGAATATACATAGATACAGTTTTCAGGAAGGGGAAAGCGGCCAATCAAGGGGGCTCCCGTTCAACACACAATTGGGGAAAGTTAGGCGGTGGTGTGTATTACTGCTATCTATTTAGTAATACTCATTCCATTGCTATTTTTGTTTCGGTTATAATTAAGTTCTACGTTTTCGTGTGAAGTTCTAATACAATGGTAAAATTTTCACATAATTTGTTGTGATTGAATGCACTAAGTTCAGCAGTTTCGTGATTGCCACCGCCTATCTGTATTCAGGACGCGTTCTCGGTGCCCGATCATGTGTGATCACACAGCATTTTCGCTTTATTGGAGAATATTTGTTACCTTTCACTGGGCATGATTTTTATATCCATTTGAAAAGTAAATAATAAACTCATTGTTGTGTTCGAATGATCCGTGATTCTGGTCTGATTGCAGCTATCTCCTGGTGTGCGAGGAGAGGAGGACTGAGACTTAGCTCGGTACAGTCAACACGACCGGGCTACAGCTACCACTTTGACCGCTCAGTCTTTGGCCTGCTTAATCACAGGTCCACTTTCCCTTACTAAACATTATTCTTAGCCATTCTTATACCCCAGAGCCAAGTTCGTTTTGCACCGCCTCATGGGCCAATTTTCTGTCAAATCATCATGTGCGTTACTATTTTGCACACGTTGCAATCTATTTGTCTGTTTGACCGCAGTGGAGCTTACACATTCTAATGTGTACGTATTTTTTCTACTTGTGCTGAGAAGATATTTCGGTACCGGTGTCAGCTAATCTACATCTCGATTGCTTGTGAATCTCAATGGTGACTCTCCTCACGAAGATTTTTACAAATTGCTCTTACCATACTTCGCTTGACCCTGGTTATAGTTTCAACAGACATGTACTGGATTGAGTTCCGCACCATAACATTTAGGTATCAAATTTAACCTTCGATTAATCGATATGGCGCTACATAGGAGCCGTTCCTCAGCGTTTTGGTCATTATTTGGTTCATTCCTAGGTTGCACCCACTTTACTCTTGCTTGTAGTGATCAAGCGGTTCAAGTCGCTATCACCGGCTTGCTTTGGGTGCTAAGGTTCGCGGTTCGAACCCCACCACCGTCTATACCACGCCTAACCCAGTTTGACCTTATGCTGTTCGGTACTCCAAGTCCCAGTTTCCATGAGTAAACAACAGGTCCTCGTGACTATGGTGTTTGCCGAAAAGACAGCTGACAAGGTCAGATTAGAATAAGCTTTATTGGAGCTGGTTCCTTCTAATGGCGCAGTGGTTTAATCGCTGTCACTGGCGTGCTTCGGACCCTATGGTCCGAGGTTCGAGCCGCGCCACCGCCACCTAACTTTGGTGGTAGGCAGCTTTACTGTCGTCCGGTTCAGTACCACGCCTAACCTAGTGGGGCAATGTGGTTCCCACTCCGAGTCCCGGGGTTTAGATCACCGTTTCCCATGACGAAGCAGCCGTTCTTCGTGACTCTGGGGTTCACCCCGTCTGCTGTTCACCCCACAAATGTGTGTAATAAAAAAACCACAGCAAATATATTTAGTAATTATGTTTTATTTTACCATTCCATGATACTGCATCGTTTACGTTCCTCAACATGCCGCATTCTCTTTGTTACAGGTGCATTGGCCTATTTAACCGCTGCCACCCATGGATTAACCGAAGAAGCGAATGAATTAAAAGACCAGTTAGTTTCTGCTACTCCTGAGGGCGAACAACTCTCTCTTCCTTCGGTCTCACCGGATGCTCGATTGTGCTCTCCGTCACCGCCTATTCTGCGTCCCGATCGGGCTGGTGCAGCGGATGCAGCCACTGCGATGGAATTGAACTGGCCGTTGCTCAGTGTCCAGTTGGACGTGTTTGAGGCAGCGATTGCTCAGCGACGTGCAGGTCCCTTAAAGCCCGGTTTAGTAGAAGACG